ACACCAACCTGCACACATACACCAACCTGCACATATACATACCTACATACACTTACACACACTCAATAGACACATACATACACACACTTGCACACATCCACTCAATACACACATACACCCCCCCCACACACACACACACGTGTGTGCACTCCAGTTAAAGCTCTTATCAGACTCGGTACTTCATACCTGTCATCCATATCAGCCCCCGCCTCTAAACACTGTGATCATCGCCACCACCATTCTCAGTGACGTTGGAGAAGAGCGCTGCCATGTTGAGTAGGTCAGGGTACAAATTTCTCTCGGAAGAAAAGGCTTGCAGGTGTAGATTTACCTATAGCCAAGGTATAAAGAGGGAGAGGGGACCACTGTGTTATTATTTGTTCAATGATAATAATAATAGTAATAGCATAACAATTAATCAATCAAATAAAACGCCTGAGTTAGGCATTGCAGTTCTTGCCTTGAATCCCAACACTTGGGATGTAGAGACAAGATCATGAATTCAAGGTCATCCTCATACACAGTGAGTTTAAGGTCAACTTTGGCTACGAGAGCCCCTGTCTCAAAAAACAAAACAAAAACAAGAAAAAACACAATAACTAAATACAATGGTAGTGTGACGGTCCCGCTAAGACCTTCACTAGCTCCCATTGCTAGAGGTGGTGTGAAAGAAAATGGCCCCCCAGAGGGCGTGGCACTATCAGAAGGTGTGGCCTTGTTGGAGGACGTGTGTCACTGTGGGGGCGGGCTTTGAGGTTTCCTATGCTCAGGATACCACCCAGTGTCAAAGTTGACTTCCTGTTGCCTCCGAGATGCAGGACTCTCAGCTCCAGAACCACATCTGCCTGCACGCCTCCAAGATGATAATAGACTGAACCTCTGAAACTGTAAGCGAGCCGCCCCAATTAAAAGTTTTCTTTGTAAGAGTTGCTGTGGTCATGGTGTCTCTTCACAGCAATAGAAACCTTAACTAGAACAGGCGGAAAGTCCTAGTCTTCAGCTGAGGCTGTCTCACCTCCCAAGACTAGCTCCTTTGCTCAGCCCGCTGGTGACCCCTCTCCAACACAGGCACCCACACTTTCCTCCAGGCTTGTAGCCTGGCTGAACCTTCAGTAGATCCTCTACGGGCAGAAACTTGTCTGAAGCATCTCTGCGTCCTGCGGAATGCCTGAGACGCATTAGACTAAGCAAGCCTCTGTACTTTTAACCCCTGCACCAGCCCCTCTTTCCTGTCTCCTAGCAACGACCCTCAGCATGTACCTATCAGCACACACCAAACAACAACCCGACCATCACCATGTACCTATCAGCACACACCAAATGTTGCAGCTCGAGTCCCTCTGAGCCATCTCTGTGAGTGTCTGGGGCAGCCTCCAGCTGACCGGCACATATCCAGTCAGCAGCTCGGGCCTGGGTGTGTGTGACTGCGTTCCTGGGTTTCTTGGCTCTCTGGCTTTGTCATTGTACAAACCCAACAGGTCCCCACCCTGTCTTTGGTTTCTTTATCTGTTCAAAGTGGGAGATAGATCAAACAGTGCTTTGCAAATTTTTTAAAAATATAGTAGATCTTTTCTCAAAGAATACCCAAGGGGGCTTTGGCATTTGGGGAATCAGCTTAGGTGTCTGTTATTTCGATGAAACACCATGACCAAAAGCAACTTGGGGAGGAAAGGGCATATTTCACTTACACCTCTACGCTGTAGTTCATCACTAAAGGAAGTCAGGACAGGAACTCACACAGGGCAGGATCCTGGAGGCAGGAGCTGATGCAGAGGCCGTGGAGGGGTGCTGCTTACTGGCTTGCTCAGTCTGCTTTCTTATAGTTATAGAAGTGAGGGCCACGTGCACAGGGATGGCACTACCCACAATGGACTGGGCCCTCCCTCATCGATCAATGCTTAAGAAAATGCTCTACAGACTTCCTGCCTGCAGCTGATAGATATTATGAGACATTTTCTCAGTTGACTCTAGCTTGTGTGAAGCTGACATAAAACTGGCCCAGTAGCTGAGAATCAGTGGAGCTTCCCGATGGTGCTGCATGGACTCTTGGCGACTGGGGAAAACAGTACTCCAACGGGTCATCTGGGATGATCTTGAGGAGAGGCAGATTGCATGGCCAAAGAGTGTTCCTGAGACCCCAAGAGGGGCCAGCACAGTCCCAGGGGTGACTTAGGTTGGGGCATCCACTCCAGACATGGGTGAGAGGTATAAGGAAAGCTTGGAGGGTGGGGGTCGTTCAGCAGATGGCTCCCTTACATAAGTCCAGCCCTCATCCTGAATCCTGGGCTGTGGGCCAAACTATGCTGTGGCTGCAAAGGGACAAGACTGACTTAAAGCTTCACAGGACAAAGGCCATCCAGGACAAGAGGTACTGTGTCCAGGGCACCTCCCCCTCTAGACAGCCTTGACGCTCTAATCAGTAGCTAGGGTCTCAGTGCCTCCTTGACGCCCAGCTGCCCTCCTGTGCTGGCCCCTGGCTCTCCTGCCTGGCTTCTGAGGTCCACTGTATGAAGGCCAGATCCATGGACACCATGACCTCGGATGGATGTAGCCCTTCCCCGTCGGCCATAGGCTAGTCATGTAAGATCCCTGAAAGTGTGGATGGTGGGGGAGGACTCAGGCCTGGGCCAGCCCCTGAGGGCTGGGTTCTGGCTACAGACTCTCCACTCATCAGTACAACCATGTCCACTTCCAGAGTCCAAAGGTCCACGTGGCGGGCAGGTTGAGCTGTGCTAGGCGCAACAGAGGGACCTCTGGTGGGTGGGCAGCATGGGCTTTGAGGAGCTCCTGGACAAGGTGGGTGGCTTTGGTCCCTTCCAGCTACGGAATCTGGCACTCCTGGCCCTGCCCCGAGTGGTGGTACCCATGCATTTTCTCTTGCCCATCTTCATGGCCTCCGTGCCTGACCACCACTGTGCCCTGCCTGGTGCCCCTGCCAACCTCACTCACCAGGACTTGTGGCTGGAGGCCCACCTACCCCGGGAGACTGATGGCAGCTTTAGCTCCTGCCTCCGCTTTGAGCATCCCCAGCCTCTCGCCAATACCACCTTGGGGACGGAGGCACACGGCTCTGGGGAGTCTGAGGGTGAGCCCTCCACAGTGCCCTGCTCTCAGGGCTGGGAGTACGACCACTCAGAGTTCTCCTCCACCACTGCAACTGAGGTACCTGAGCCAGGGGGAGGGTGTGTGGATGGGCTGGGCCTGTCACTGCCTTGGGGCTTGTTGTGTGGGTGTGAGATAACCGTCCTGTGCTGAGAGTTTTTGTTTGCCTGTGTAGACAGGGTCTATGGCTATAAAGCCCTGAGTCGAGTTCTGGGCTTGAACTGAGAAGTTCATTTGCTCCGATTCACTGGGAGATGATGAAGGCAGGGGAGGGAGAACCAAGGTGGCCCCCGGGGGTTGGTGGGGGGGGGCGGTTGGGACAGAAAGCTGAGAAGGATGGAGAAACCGCAGAGGCCTCCATTTCCCTTCTGTCCCTCATTCTAGGCCTATGTCTGAGATTTCCTTGATTCATCCAGAGAGGAAGGGTGGGTGGAGATGGAGTCTCCCTGGGGGGGAGGGGAGAGAGGCAACAGGATTCCTGGGCAGTGGTGAGGGTCCAGGGAGAGGAGTCTTCCCTTTCCAATGCTGAGTTTGCTAGCCAAGGATGGGGGTATCTTCTGGAGCCTGGAGAGGAAGGACTGGCTGGGGGCGCTGAGACACACTAAAGGCCCCCCCTTGCCTGTCTGGGGCCTCAGACACACCAAAGGCCCCCCCCCTTGCCTGTCTGCAGTGGGATCTGGTGTGTGAACAGAGAGGGCTGAACAAAGTTATATCCACCTGCTTCTTCATCGGCGTGCTGCTGGGGGCTGTGGTGTACGGATACTTGTCGGACAGGTGAGCTGGGTACCAGACAGATAAGGGAGCAGGCTGAGGGGACTCTCTCAGTGCGGGGATGCCCCAGTGGGACCTGACCTTGCATGGCCCTGTGCAGGTTTGGCAGGCGCCGGCTTCTGCTGGTGACCTACGTGAGCTCCCTGGTGCTGACCTTGGCATCTGCGGCCTCAGTCAACTACGTCATGTTTGTCCTCACCCGCACCCTCACCGGCGCGGCCCTGGCTGGGTTCACCATCATTGTGTTGCCGCTGGGTGAGGCAGACCAACATGGGCAAGGCCCGCGGGGCTGGCGGGAGGTGTTGGAGTGAGGTGGGCCCATCTGGCCCCTGCTAACTGTCTTCTCGGTTTGGCGGCTCTGGGTCTAGAGCTGGAGTGGCTGGACGTGGAGCACCGCATCGTGGCTGGTGTCATCAGCTCCGCCTTCTGGACGGGAGGTGTGCTGCTGCTGGCACTGGTGGGGTACCTGATACGGAGCTGGCGGTGGCTTCTGCTGGCTGTCACCCTGCCCTGTGTCCCGGGCATCATCAGCATCTGGTGAGAATTGCAAGCAGCTGGGAGTGAGAGACACATACAGCCAAGACAAAATTCACAAGAGGCTGGGGTTCTAAAACAGGGGCTGGAGAGGTGGCTTAGCTGGTAACAGCTCACACAGGAGGACCCAAGTTCAATTCCCAGGACACACGTCAGGCAGCATGCAAGTCCAGCTCCAGGGGATCAAACACCTCTGGCCTCTATGGGCACCTGCACACACACACACACACACACACACACACACACACACACACACCAAATACAGACACAGACACACACACACATACACAAACACACACACACCAAATACAGACACAGACACACACACACACACTTTCAACTAAAAATAATGAAAACAACAAAAGAACAGGGAGACTGAGGGAGGGGCTGGGCTTAGCTCAGTGGTAACCTAGCATGTACAAAGCCCTGGGTTTATCCTGGACACTGAATGAACCAGCTGTGATGGCATATGCCTCTATTCACGATACTTAGAGAGGCATGAGGATCAAGGTCATCCTCAACTACATAGGAAATTGAAGGGCAGCCTGGGTTACAGAAGACCCTGTCTTGGGACGGGGGAAGTAAAAGGAAAAATATGGCTGTCCTGGAAAATATCTCAGTAGGTAAAATACTTGCCATGCAAAGCATGAGGATCTGCGTTCAGATCCCCAGCTCCCATGTAAAAAGCATGACATGGAGATGTGTACTCATAATCCTTTAGGA